AATAATACCTTATTTATTATCATACATTCCTTATATTATGATCCCAGGTCTCATTCTAGCTGACCACGTCATGAACATACCCTTGTTACCTACCTTTAACCTCATTATACTCATAATCTAATATCTATTACATTATATTTATGATTATATTAGTCTCTCTCACCCGTAATTCATAATACTTTTATTATATATTATTCTAGGCAAATATTATATATAAAGCTATTAACCTATCATGAAATAATCTTTTCAAGAGGCACCAAAAATGGTAACAATATAGATATTCTAAAGAATTATAGTCTAATCAAGAAACTGAATTCACAACTCAAGTAATTGAAGAACTTATCACTTAATTTAAAATTAAATATAAGTTTTCATTATTATATCATTCATATACTAATAGAATAATTGAATAATTTAATAGAACTTTATAGAAAATATTTCAAAAATATTATATTATATTAGATAAATAATAGGATATATATATATTATCAGTATTATTTACATATAGAATATTTTGAAATAATATAACCAAATATGAATTTTTCTTTTTAATCTATAGAAAAGATATCTGATTACCTATTGATTTGAAATATCTATCACTAATAGTAGAAAATAAAAATAAAAAACATGAAATATTAAATTGAATATTTTCTTTAATCTATTACTTATTAGATGATATTAATATAGTATAAAATTGAATTAAAAGATAACAGTAACAAATGAAAGAAAAATATAATTCAAAACTACAAAGAATTACACAATTCATAATTGATAATAAAGTTCTAGTTTTAGAGAATATTATTTGTAGATATTTTTAGAAAATTTTGCAAGTATGATAATTATGACAAAATTATTATAACAAAGTTAGTAAAATTATTATAGTAAAACTAATAATATTATTATAATAAATCAATATTATAATACTAGCTAAAGTGATATTTAGATCATAACAAAATTAGTATAAATATTATAATAAAAATATTATTTATCTCTAAAATATATAAAAGTAATATATCTTAGCTAGTGAAATTAGATAGCTTAATTAATAAGTTAATTAGTTAGTTATTTAGTTTAGTTTGAGTTCTATAAGTTTAGTTCTCAATTTATATTTAAGTAGATTTTAGTTTTAAGAGAATTTTAAGAAATTTTTCTTGTAAAATAGATCTTGATTAAGTTCTATTATTTTATCTTGTTAATAAGCTGAATATTATATCTGTCTTGAAATTATATTTTGGAAATTGGACTATATTTTAACTAGTTATAATAAGAATATTATTATTACCTATTTTTAGATAAAATCTTGAAATAATAATATTAATATTCTTGTTTATAAACCTTTCAAAAACTCTTTTAATCTTGTTATAAATATATAGTTAGTTTTATTACGTGTTTTTGTAATATTAGGATTAATACTTATCCTTACATCAAATTTATATCAAAAAGATAATAATATTATATTATTTTTGATTATTACTATATTATAAAAAATTAAATTTTATTTTTTTTCAATAATTTTTTTTAGAATAAAATCTTTATTTATAAAAAATTTATATATAAATTACTAATTATATATAAATAAAATAATAAATAAGCTTAAAAATATTTATTAATATAAATATTTTTTTAATTTTATTATATTTTTTTAATTATAATTATATTATTTTAAAATATATATAATAATAATGTAATTCTTTAATTTTTTACTAATTATAATTATCTAAAAAACTAAAATATTATATTATCACTATATAAAGATATTAATTATTAAATAATAATCAAACTTATTTAAATTTATTTTTATTATAAAATTAATATTTAAATCAATTTAAATAAATATTTAAACATAATTTAAAATTAAATATATTAAATATCAAAATATATTATTAATTTTATTCAAGATTTTTTGAATTCTATTCAAAAATCCAAATATTAATTCAGAATATATATCTCCAAATATAAACAATCATCTCTTTTTAAGATTTGAAATTCTGAAAATAAATTTATACTCGAATATAAGCAATCCCCGCCCCCCTCCCTTTGCCCTGCCAAAATCTTGCATTTTTTGGTTACTTATATTCGAAGATATACGATAATTTAATTATTAGTTTTTATTTATTTATAACCGGTCACGTGGCGTGACAACCGGAAATTCCACGTGAGAATCAACTTTCACATATTGCGATTTGATTGGTTTATCCCTTGAAATCCCGTGATTTGCAACTTTTTCGCCATTGGCTAGGTATTTTGAGACCCAGTGACGGAAAGCTGACCATTCGATTCACTAGATTTTAGTAAATCAATTGGTGGGCCTTACTATTGGATTTCGAGATATTGAGCCCCAAAGAGGCCGTATGTGAAATTACTCATTATTACGGATTTCATAATTTTGTGCAAATATTTACACCAATTACAAATAATGCATCAATTACAAACTTTACAACTACAACCTTTCAATTTTATTAAACCTATTACGGCATGTAATACTAATCATCACCCTTCACTTCCTTAATCTTACCCTTATTCTGCTTTTTCTACTCTTCATTGTCATCAACTTCCTTAATCTTACCCTTATTCTGCTTTTTCTACTCTTCGTTGTCATCATGCATTGATTCGTCCTCATCTTCATGTTCAAACTCACTCACTCCACTCTCTGCTCGTTCCTCTATTTTTTCAGCAAATTGTTGACTGACGCGTAGCCGAATCCGCATCCTGAAAATAAGATTACGTCATCTGAGTAATGCTCTCTTTCGTCGTTTTGCGGCTTCTTGAGCTGAATGTGCTTTCCATGCCTTTTATCAAAAACAAGGACGCTGAATTATTATATAATCGATTTTATAATGAAAAAAAAAAACTAATACCTCTAGAACAATTTCTTCATTCTCTTTATCGATAACAATACCCTCAATTATAGGCGTATATCGATGACATTGGAAATTGAAACCGGTCTTAATAGAAAGTACTCGAAAGAAAAATTTTCTTACAACAGCTTGGGCAAACTCAATCTCAAGTTTTTTTTTCAACTTTGGCAATACCACAAACTACATAAAAAGTAATAAAATTAATTGATAAAACAAATTTATAGAAAACAAATAAAAACTTACTTGGTATATGGACAGCGCCGATTGGAGACATGCTTGGTTTGAACATGTACACATTACCATACTTGTTTACAGGAATCTTCCCTAAATGTGCAAAGGATTAACCTTCGGAAATATACCACAATTATATGTTTCGGGTTATAGGACTGTTTTCCATTCCGCATATAATCCAGATTCCCTTGGTGCATCATCAAAGTATTCGGCCATTTTATCTTCCTTTTCTTTACTCTGACTGCATGAGATTTTATATATTTCAGAGGTTGTTCTCCTTCCTATGTATTAAATGATATTCAATATCTAATTTAATAAAGTTATAAAATGGATATCTGCATCTACCTTGACCTCCCGAGCTTCCTTCAACCATGTTTCAACAGTGTGCAACTAAAATCATAATTGATTTAATAATTATGTTTCAAAAAAAAAACAGAATATTATGAATACCTGTTTAACACCTTCACGCAGATAAATTGGTTAGCCGCGAATTTCTCCAAGTATTGGTTCCTTTTGGATGTAATATATCTCGAATTTTTTCAAAGAACGTTCAAGAACATATCTATAAATTGTTTTTTAAAGATATTCAATAGTTTGAAGCCAGATTTGAATCAAGTATGAACATACAATGGATGATTATTAAAAATCACTAATGGCCATGGGAATTGCCTCAGAAGTTTCTGTTGAAGATAATTCTTTATCTTCTAATTTATCGCGTTCCTAATTGCAATTCAATGCTTTGTCGAGAACTGGAAATGAATAAGTTATAATTAAATAATACCGTTTCATAAAGTCGAGCTCGGTAACTTAATGTCGCTTGCCACCAATCATATCCGCCTTTAGTTGGTTGAATGCGTAACTTACGCGTGTTCAAAATCAGACACAGATCTTATAATTATAATAGATTATCAATCAATCTTTTTACCCTTTCAAAAGCCACAACATATGCCATTACATTATTGGTAGAATTATTACAGGTTCCATAGCGTGAGGATCGTCACCAATAAATCGGAGATTTCTCATATTCTGTAGCGTTTAAAAAAAGATAAGGGTTCCATTTTAACCTTGCGACTTTTGATTGAGACGCGTTTGATCGCTTAAACAGAGTAGTGAAACACTTGCTAACTTTCTCCGTGGTAACAATTTCATCATCAATTCCCACTTTTAGTTGTCTTGATCTTTTTGCGACGCAAATTGATCTTTTTAACTAATGATGCTGCGTTTTCTTTTTGCTTCTTTGATATTCACATTAGAAGATTCTTCGTTTTGTTTGTTTTTCGGAAACACCTTAACTGAATTCTTTCGTTTTACAACACGTGTTTTAAAGGGAAACAGCTTGTAGCGAAATTATCAATCGAACAGAAAAACCTAATGATCTCAATAACGCGACAAACAATTTGGCAGAAGTGTCTTTGCTTCCTTTACCTTCTTTAATAGCGGTTCGCAGAGCATGAACAGAGAGAATCCAATCAGCAAAATCGTTTTGATTTTCCTACGTAAAGATTTAATAAATTCTTTATATACTCAATTTATATTAATTATAAATGCGCATGACATACCACTGAAACTCCCTTCATACATAATCTCGGGAACAAAATTCCGAGTCTAGTAATCTTAAAATAATCTCGCCACCAGGATTTAATGATATTTCAAAAAAACCCAGTATCTCAGCCGGAATCAATGAATATAATAACGCCTAGGATTTCAACGACAATTAGTCAGCGTTTGTATGTCGAAAAACAAAATTTAGTAATGTACACTAATTATATAAATAAAGAACTTTACCTGCATAAGAATATCATTTGCACTATCCATTTCGAATCATACCATGTGCTAAAAGTGCATTTTGTGAATCCATTTTTAAAGATTCTGCGTGCTCTGTATGTACGCACATCCATGAATGAAATCATTTTATTGCCGGCACGGAGAAAATTATTTCAATCGCTTTATCCTGCTCTGGTTTAAGCTTCACATAACTGTCATAAGCGTATTGTGATTGAATTTCATCTACAAGAAATAACAACTCAATCAATTCAACTCTTTCTTAAGTCGATCAAGTTTCATGCATATCAAGAATTAGCGCATACTTTGCCTCTTGAATTCGTCACCCTTTGTCTGATTGACTAGGATTTATCGTTTCATCATGATTCCCAATATCTTTTCTTCCACGACTTTCAATTGCTGAATCAACATCCATCGGATTGACTTTTTCGCATCCGTTTCTTAATTCTCTTTTATTAATTTTTTCTCATTACTTAAAAAAACGCGTGTATAGAAGCAAAGACTGATTATGAATCATGAACACTGATATATCACGTGTATTATTTATTGAGACAAGAGTTAATACTTTTCATTAATTCATCAGAGCCCAATTATACGAAATAATACATGTAGCAAGTTGACACTTGGAATATTGAATATTACCATATGCGTTCATCAAGTGAAAAACTGAGGTATATATGTAAAAGGAAATTTGGATACCAATTAAGATCTTGGCAAACTCTTGAGATTACCCATATTAAAACAAATGAAATCTTCTATTTTACGCGCGATTCGCTATCTAAAAACACTGGAATTAGATAATGTTTCTTCAAATTACAATCTACGATTTATTTGAAAAAATATCAATTTGGGCAAAAAATGAAAAAAGAACCAGAAAATCCTATTAAATACTTGGTCTATTAATAAAGCGGTTTAAAATTGGAGATTCATCGTCTTAAATACAAGAATCATTTGTTTTTAAAAAAAGGGGATGTCAGAAATCTATTAAATATTGGTCTATTACTAAGGGAAGAATAAATAAATAATAATATTATTAAGACATCAGTTCTATGTCACGTCATATACGCGAAAATTACATCTGCAGTTTCCACGCATATACGGACTTTCACACGGTCACACACGTGTGGGAACAAGTCCCTTCAGTGTGTTAATCAACGAACGTTGCCAAAGGGTTACTCGGGAAGTAAAACAATACTTGCGTATGTTCATCCTCCTTTTCACTTCACTACTCAGGAAGAGTAACAAACCAACAACATCAACAACAGTCCTCAGTTGAAAGTTCATCCCAGATCGACCTTTTCGTCAATTGGCTAATCCGAAGTTAACACTCGGGAAACATGATCGCATCTGCACCTCGCGTTTTGCCAATCAACGAACTACTCAGAAAGCGAACAATGCACTAACATAGTTTGCCAACCAATACCAACCAATACCACTATTAGCTGGTTGTTCGACAAACTTTCTTCATCGATAGCCCGAGATTAACAAAACGTTTAGTAACAGCGCGCCCGCATCCCGCTCCGCTCCGTGTTTTGAAGATTCATCATCGTCTTAAATACAAGAAAGAATCATTTGTTTTTAAAAAAGGGGGGGGGGGGGTATTCAATTCTCTGTCGCGTCATCGGTACTTCTTGCTTGAGAGAAAGCTGATGCAGATTCCCACAAATCAAGATAATTCAATACTGAATATTATTTTGGTAGCACTTCATGATCTTATAAAGAATCATGTTCAGTGCGTCATACGGGCATTACGTCAATAAAAAAGGTGAAAAAATTTAACTAATGAAAAAGGTGAAGATGAGGTGAAGATAGAAGGTGAAAAAGTTGAAAGTAAAAAAAAGTTGGAAGTGAAGTGAAAAAGGTGGTAAAGTGAAGGAGGTGGTAAAGTAAAGGTGGTAAAGTAAAGGTGGTAAAGTAAAGGTGGTAAAGTAAAGGTGGTAAAGTGAAGGAGGTGGTAAAGTGAAGGAGGTGGTAAAGTGGAGGTGGTAAAGTGGAGGTGGTAAAGTGAAGGTGGTAGTGAAGTTAGTGAAGTGAAGGAAGTGAAGGTGGTAAAAAAAGTGCGAAGGCAGTGAAGATGAAGTGGATGAAGAGATGGTGAAGACGAAGTAGTGAATAAAGTCAAAAAAATGAAGTGGATAAAAAAAGTGGGATTTTAGTCAATGGGTGAATATATTTTTTTATGCGTTCTCACGATGTCATTTTTTTGTAGCAATCATTTGCTGATCTGTGTTAGATCTGTGTCTGGGGCATCTACATGACTAATAATATACGTGATTCACTTGAAACTGATTTATTTACATGGAGTATTCACAATTTTAAATTATACATGTATATTTATATATATCGATATACTGTACATGTATATAATATTAAAATAGCTCTTGCATCTTTAATCATTTTTAATATATTTTACTGTATAATTTCAAAAAGTTAGCTAATAAAATGTTACTCATTTGAAAATAAGATAAATTCAGGACCGAAATGTGTGACAGGTTACGCCGATTATATTGTTTAGAGTATGTGGCGCAATTAACTGTAAACTGACTGTCCTCCAATTAATAAAAAAAATAAATTTTTCGTGTGATAGTTTCTTTTTCGCCTTTATTAATTTTTATATGGGGCGTGCTGCAACAAAACCAGACAAAGTGAACATTTGACGTCACGAGAAATTTACCGTCAACAAAAAAACCTGCGCGTCACTTGGGTCAACCATTCCTACTTTTTTTTTCTTTCTGCCGTGTACCTTCCAAAGGTGCAATCAAACATGCAAGATCCTCGCCGTTATATAGCGGCCCAAAGTCACAGCTCAGATACTTCTGGTTATCTTTCGTTCAGTATTGGCGCGTCGATCGAAGTTTCCGGTGATCATTATGCTGACCGGTTATGGGGGAAGCTTAATGACGGCGTTGAAGGCTGGATCGCCCAAGACACGTTTAAAAACTGCTTATTTTCGGCCGGTATGTAGCCCGCGGCATTCATATTACGCTACACCACATTCTAACGTCTGAAGCTTGCACTTTTGCTGTTCACTATTTACATATCTTTTGACATGCCCTTGTAGATTTCCTCGACGATCTTGATTTGTCGATGGAATCCCAAGACAGCACCGAAAATGTTTCAAATGATTCAAATACGTCAACGCTGGTGTTCAATGGCTTGCAATTAGCGTTCCCTCAAAATGACAAATCTGACTTTTTACAGCTCCGCATGGACCCTGATTTGGCTTACTTCGACCGTACTGGATACATATCGGTGCTCAGTTCTTTCAAAGAAAATGTGCTACTCTTCTCACGCCCGCGCAGGTTCGGCAAGTCCCTGACACTCAGTATGCTTGCCTACTTCCATGGGGCGGAACACCGCAAGCATTATGAAAACTCTTTGGGGTTAATAGCAATAGCATTTTTCTTTCTCTCTTTGGTTTTGTCCGTTGCTAATCGCTCCTGATCCATTGCTTGTAGGGCCTCGCTGTTGACCAGGATGTCCAAGCTGGCACTGTCATGCACAACCAATATCTTGTTCTGTCCTTCGACTTTTCCAAAATCGATCGCGATTCTGATCCCAAAGTTGCCAAAGCTGGACTCTTCGAAATGATTAACAAGGCTATTGGACTGTTCTACGCTAAATATGCTGTTTATCTGAATGAAGCAATCAAACTGAGCCAAATGTTTACCGACCAACCACTTATCAACCAGAATAATGCTATCAGTAGTCTTGATCAATGTGTCAATGTTGTTCAACTTGCGCTCCAAACAGCCGAAGGAGTCGTCAACCACCCACTCGCTGGTATGAAGGGGGTAACTATATAGTAGCGTTTCGTTTTTGCAGCGAGTATAATAGCTGTCCCTCACATCACTTAAATTGTTTTATTTATAGATATATCTCTTAGCCGATGAATACGATGCCTTCGCCAACGAATACTTGAATCTCCAGGACGCCACAAGCTATGACAGTATCCATAGGGGACAGTCTTCACTTAAGGACTTTTGGGCGTGCGTTAAGTCTTCAATGGGCTACCAAAGGATTGAAAAATGTTTCATTACGGGAGTGTTGCCATTCTCGATGACTGACGCTACCAGTGGTTTTAATATCGCGACAAACATTTCTGATGAAGAAGACCTCGCTGGGTTCTGTGGCCTCAGTTATGGCGATGTGCGTTTCGCTTTGAAGGCCTTCTGCAAAAATGGAGACATCGAGAAATACTTCCGCATCATGGTGCGGCATTACAATGGTTACGGTTTCTCGCCATATTCTGCTTGGCGTGTCTTTAACACAAACACATGCTTAGAGTATCTTCAGGTGAGCGGCAAGCTACAAAGTTGCCCCGAATCGGGCCCGAGGCACGCCTCATTATCAGAGTTTTCTTGTCATCGTTTCTGTATTATTACTTCACTTTGCTGCAATTTGATTATTAGAGTTTGCTAAGGAATAAGCCGATCAATCCAAGCAATCCTTCCAATTGGGAAACGTCCGAAACTTTGCTCCAAATACTAGCTAAATCGCCTATTGCAACTAGCATCCTCGAAAAGGCCAGTAGCCGTGATTCAGCATTGGATTTCGATGTCTGGCGTGAACCGATCCCACATGGCATGTTACCATCAGAGTTCCGTTTCTCCGACTTGGTACGTGATGCGTCTTGTGCCGTGCGCTTAATGCTGGCTTCCCTGACAAGAATATTTACGTTTTGTTGCTGCCTGAAGAACTTCTATGATGCAACTCGTCGTCTGACAAAAATGTCTGCTATAAAATCCAAATAATTTCTTGATTTTAGATTTTTAGAAATATCGAAGCTTTACACACTCAAATGCGTAAAAAAAGGCACTTTTCTCATATGCTTAAGGAATAGCAAGGCATATAGGATTACCCCTGCATATAAATCCTCTATTCCTCTATTTTTCTTTTTTTTCTTGGTCCTTGGAATGATTCCGTCAATGTCCGTTTAAGAGGCTTTTCAATTCTTTCCTCTTGGTAAATCTCATAAATTATCTTTTCTTGGTCCAGATAGTCCTTGATAGTCTGCGTGCTTCTTAGTTTGAAAACATAAGGAGCAATCTTTTCACCTTGCTCTTGCTTTAAAAGAGAGCGTAAAGTGCTATAGTTTTTGGGCTCCATAGTGGATCTAATATAGATAAGTTTCATATATTTCAATTTTATATACACGGTTACTCCTATGTACAAATAGATAATAAATACAAAATCAGACAAACTGTGCGTAATATATATATAAAATATATATATATGGGAGACGACACAATTATGAACGAATATGAAAAAGCTCTCCATTTTCTAGAAGTGGGATGTGGTTGCGGGTGCTCCGCTAAAGAAGAGTTTGCTGTGCTGCGGGAAGATTTCCAAGCGCTAACAAAACCCGAACAAGATACCTTCTTAATGGCTCAACTCAGATCCATGGATGGAGGGGCGAACAGTACTAGCCGACGCCTCAAGAACAAGACTCGCGTTAACAAGAGAACTGTCTACTGCTGAAATCGTAATATCCTTATTTGTCAAAAAACCTACCTCAATATGCTTGGCATTGGCCGTAATTACTTTGAAAATATCAGAAATCACTTGCTCAAGAATGGACTTCTACCACGGGTTCATGGTAATGTTAAAAGAATGCCACGGTGAAAAACTAGGATGATCATCAATTTTGACGTAGCTACTGCTGTCAAGAACTTTTTGCTAAATTATGCCGAAGTTCATGGCTTACCCAGCCCAGTCAGAAATGTTAATCGCGTGACTCAGTCGATTGTCTTCCTACCGGCGGAAATGAGTTACAGGTCTGTTCACCGTGACTTTTTGGCTGGTCTAGAGGAAGAGAGTAAATTGCGTGCCTTCAAGTATGATGCTTTTCGCAAATTATGGCATCAGCTGACCCCGTATATTCAAATCATGAGTTCTCGAACAGACTTATGTGATACCTGTCAGCAGTTGCGGAATGACTTGCAGTTTAAAGCCCGTAAAGAGGAAGAGGCCCAAGAGCATCTAGTCAAAGCCAAGTTAGAGCGAAATTATTATAACCAAAATACCAAGTTGCGGAAGAACACAGAAAACTCGTTGACCAGGATTATTCCATACTGAAAGGCAAAACACCATACCGTAGTATTAATGCAGTTGCCCACTACAGTTATGACTGAGCCCAAAATGTCCACGTACCTCATTCGGATCAACAGATCGGCAAAGTGTATTACCTTAGTGCTCGTAAAGTGCACTTGTTTGGTATCCAAGATGAAGCGGTGCGTGAGCAAATTAATTACGTGATAGATGAGAATGAACTGCTTGGAAAGGGTCCGAATGGTACGCTTAGCTTAGTCTTCGATGGAATTAAGCAATTAAATAAAGGCGAAAAACATTTAAAAATCACTTGCGACAATGCGGGCGGACAAAACAAAAACAATACCACTCTTTGGTTTTACCTGTACCTGGCAATTGTTGGTTACTATGAAAGTATTGAATTGAACTTCATGGTTCCCGGCCATACCAAATTCAAATGTGATGGTAGCTTCGGACCGATCAAAAGGCTTTATCGCAAGACAACGGTAGACTGTGTAGATCACATCGCAGACGTGGTAAAAAGATCTAGCATTGCCGGACTAAATAAAGCTCGACGTTATAATGGTGATGAAGGTTTCCAATATTACGACATCATAAGCGGTCTAGAAACCTATTTCAAAAAATTGCCTGGCCTGCAAAGGTTTCAACATTTTCTTTTTACCTGTGCTAACCCTGGTATAGTTAAAGCCCAAGAAGTCGCTAATGGGCCTTTCCAAGAATTCAAACTATTAAAAATTAGTAAATCCGAGGCTTCAAGAGTCATAGAAGGCCTTGTCATTTCCAGTGCTAGTGCCTCCTCCTATGAAGTATGAAAGACAAGAATATCTTTATCAGCATATTCGGCCTTTTGTCAAAGATTCGTTTAAAGATGTTACTTGCCCAAAACCATCGGTACGCAGCGCAAATGAATAATAATAAATAACAGCAAATCATTTTGATTTTAATAGTCGCTAGTAGTTACATGTGCTTCTTCCAACAATGATATCCACTCCTATAAAAATTAATATATTACTATGCCAGAAAAAAAGTGTATATCTTGTGCTAAACTCAGTGTTCCGCTAGAGAAAGGTCAACTTAGATCTCTATTAACAGATGGAGGAACAGTTTTCTCTTCCGTCAATCATCGACCCAATTCCAAACACCACACAGTAATATTGACCAAAAGGCATACTGAGGATTTACGCACCTTAACTACCCAAGAATGAGCCGATATTTTACCGGTGCTCAAGGATAGTATTGCTAAAATCGAAGCGTATCTCAAAAAAGCAAATAAACCAATTCCTGTTGGGTATCGAATTAGTATCCCAAATGGGGAGCTAGCTGCACAAAATATGCCACCTCATTTTTATATGCGGGTAGTGCCAAAGTATAAGAAGGATTTTGGATCTGTGATGGTGCCATATGATATGAAATATGCCGCAGGCCAAAACTTTGCTGAAAATAAAGAGAAAATTTGAGCTTCTTTACAACCTAAGCAAGATAAAGTCATTGCAGAAAATAACAAATTGATTGCTAAATTATGTGACGACAATGGCAAAGAAATGCCTACCTTCACCCGGGAAAGTCTAGTAGGAATTATACCCAT